ACTGCTGTGACATGCTTGTCTTTACAGCACCCTGTGGGCACGTAACCTTGTCAGTGACAGAGGAAACCAAGATGTAGAAGTTGAAAAAGCCAACTAAGCCTGCCAAGCCCCTGCCAAGAGCAGAGGGCAGTCTCTTTCCAAGCGCCCTGCATGTCGCTGACTGGGGGCTTGCCCTGTGTAGCTGGGGCATGGCTCAGTTACTTTTCTCTCATTGCTGGGACAAAATATCCGACATCCAAAATTAAGGAAGGAAAGGTTTATTTAGCTCACAGTTTGTGGAGGTTTCAGTCCATAATCAGCTGGCTCCAAGGCTGAGTGGCACATGGCAGAGGGCAGCAGCTCATGGTGGTGGAAAACAGCAAAACAGCAAGAGCAAAAGGGAGGAGCAGAGGCAACCGCAGCAGCAGCAAAGGCAAGAGAAGCTGCTCTCCCTTCCTTGCACTGAGTCCAGGCTATCCACCTCAGGATGGGTATAGCACTCACACCCATAATCCCAGCAGCACTCACACCCATAATCTCCAGGAGCACTCACACCCATAATCCCAGCAATGGATTATGAATTAATTACAATTTCTCAAAGTCCACCCTATGACTGCACCAGGCTTTGGGAGGACAACGAAACAGGGAAGCAGGGACCTCACCTGCTGCTGAAATGTGCTGAGGGTAGCTAAGGACATTTTATAAAACCCGAGGATGTTATTTAACCCCCAAAGGGTGTCCCTATCTGCGACACAAGTCCTTGAAGTTTCAGGAAGCCAGACCCAGAAATATCCACTAGCAAACTGCTGTTTATCCTGCCTAACCCGGGTATTTCTTCCTTTATCCTCTGTCAATCTCTACTGCAAACATGGGTGGTGCAAAGCAAGATGATTACAAAACTGAAACCGCTAATCTTTTAAAAGATGTGGGGTTTTGTTAAATTAATTAAAGTGATGCTGGAGGACAGTGTGAATGCAAATCCGCTGGCTAATAACAATCTGGTGTCAGGGATGATCCAGGAGAGGGGATGAGGAGGTAGCACACACCCTGAGGGGGGTACGGACATCAAGAAGCAAGAATGGTGCAGGGCAAGGCGGATCAATTAATCAAAAAACTCTGGCAAGGATGCCGTGGCTTTTGGTGACAACAGCATGGGAAAGCAAGGGTAACCCGTGGTGCTATCACTTATATTTGTTGGACAAATCACACCCATCCCGGCTGACACGCGGCATCGGCTCATTTCCTTCATCAGCCCTGTGGTTACAATTAGAGCCCCAGCTGTGCTACGTATCAGCACACCCTAACATGAAGCTGTTTCCAAGATGTTCCTGGTTTGAATTTTCAAGATAAAATCCCTGATTGATATATTTTTAAAAACACTGTTTGTTGAAATAGTGGCCCACTGAAAAGGGCTCTTTCTGGTGCTGGTCTCTCCGGTTTGGGCGACCACCTGCACAAGAAGGGGCACAAAAGCACGGGTGACCGAGGTCAGTAACCGTGCTGGAGACTTTTCCCGTCCCCTCGGTATCGATTTTCTTCTTCTCTCAATATAAAATCATGTTGGGCAGGGGAGATAGCTCAGTGGTTTAAGCGCCTGCCTGGCAAGCGTAGCGGCCCAGGTTCCCACATGCTGTGCAGGCCCCGCCCCAGGCTCGCTGAGCCAGGCACTGAAACTCGCGTGGTGGAGCAGGCCTGTCATCCCAGCACTGGGGAGGCTGAAATAGGAGGATCACTATGAGTCAGAGCTGTGTAGAGAGACCCTGCACCTAATCCATAAAATTAAAAAAAAAAAAAAATTACATCAGCTGGCAAGATGGCTGCCAGAATTACGACTACGTTTGCCAGGCCTCCTTGTAGCCACAAGAAGCCATGTGACTCGTTCTCCCCAATGGGAAGTGCAGAGAATAAGAGGGTTGGACCATGTCATCAGCAGGGCCACCCCAGGCGGTGTGAGAAAGAAAGGATAAGCAGGAGATATCTTGGATCTCACACACAGCCCAACTTAAATCCAGCATGACCAATTTCAAGAGAGGCCCGTGTGGATACAAGGGAGCTCATGGCCCAAGTGCTGTGGTGGGCAGTCTGTTATCACTGAAAGCTCTTCAAGGTTCGCCATCCCTGACATGGGGTGTAACAAGACTTAAGACGCTGTACAAATAAATGACTTCCTGTTCTTGGAGGGCTTAAAAATATGTGGCATCCAAATCAAATCAATCTTGAGAGCCGGCCAAATATCTCAGCTGATTAAAACACTTACAAGCAGGTGCAACGGCCAGGGGTTTGATCCCCCTGGGCCTGCTGTGCTGGTCCCGCCCCCGGGGCACGCAGAGATGGCCATTGAGACTGAGCACGGTGGCGCACACCTGTGATCCCAGCTTTTGGGAGGCTGTAAATAGGTGGATCACTACGAATCCAATCTAGTAGTGAGACCCTGAATATCCTGTAGACCCTCCCCACCACCAAAAACCAAAAAAACAAAAACAAAACAAAAAACCCCCAAGCCAAATCAAATCAATCTAAAAGAGACTCTGAATTCATAAAAGGTTTTTTGGGGGGTCATTCTTCTCAATCAACATGGGTGCACTGAGATGGCAATTGAGACAGCATGGTGGCACTTGCCTGTAATCCCAGCACTTGGGAGGCTGAAAACAGGAGGATCACTGTGAGTTCGATCTATGTAGTGAGACCCTGTACTAAATACATTAAAAAAATTTTTTTTCACTTTAAATAGAAACTTAACATGAAACTCAGATCGCAGCTTCCTAACTGCCAAGGTAAGAGAAAGCACCAAATGTTCCTCATTCTTGTTACTTAATAACCAGGAGTACATTGGAGTAAACAGATGTTTTAAGAATCCTGGGTTCTAAAAACTTTAGAACCCCTCACACAGAGAGACAGTCTAAGTACAATGAATACGACGCTCAATGGATATGTGACAGAAAATGTTGACATTCTTGTGGGCAGCCGTGTGCCTCTGACAAGATGCTTTGAGGCTCCGGTCTCCACTGAGGATAAGACTAAGCACCTCGGGGCAAAAGCAGCTCGCAGCTTTTTCGTGATTCAAGGATGAAGTCTGGGGAACCAATTTTATTTTGGGGGCTTTCCTGTCTGTCCCACCTGTATGATTGTGAACCCTAGGCTCCCACCCAAAGTCCCCCCATATGTCATGAGGCGTGAAGGTTCCCTCTCAGCTGGACGGCACACGCCCCCGCCCCCAGCCCGAGTCCTGATCCTGGTCAGGTTCAGCCCAGTCCCTCTGTGGGGTGCAGCTGCCCTGGCTGTCAAACGTGGAGCTGGTATGGGTGCATACTGTTAAGGGCCTTCTTGTTCTGTTGGCATCTAAAGCTGGGGTTCTGGGGTGTACCTTTCAGCCAGAGGTGGTAAAGGGGATGTGTGAGGCACTGCTGCCCCTGGCATATTTTCTTTGGCTCATGGCATGCATATTTTAAAAAACCTGAGTTTTTCCAACATTTAAAAAAATTACGATATTTCCACTAAAATTTTAAATGCAAACATAATGCGGAGGTCAGCAACTCCAAGCACAGGGCTGTCATTTCACACCTGAGTGGCACATGCCCCCTTCAGTAAGGGCTCAAGCCTCTGCTGTGCCCCCACCTGTCCTGTGTTCACCAGGGATACCCAGGCCCCCACAGCCACCTGACACACCTGGCTAGGTACAGGGACCCAGACAGCAGCGGGGTCTGCTTCCACGCAGCAGCACATGGGTCGGACTGCGGGCACCTGTGCAGGGAGCTGGCCCTTCCTCGCTTGCGCAGCAGGGGCCAAGCTGTAGGAAACCCATAGCACCAGCCCGGCCGGCTCCCCTCCCGAGGGCCCCACCAGCCCACGCTGGGCCTCTGGCAGGATGCTGTGCAGTCTTGAGGGCTGCAGGCTCCGCTGAAGGAGGCGTCTGTCCTTCCCTACGTCCCTCCCACCCCAGCAACACCTTGTCTTGGACGAATCTTCCCAGGTTGCAACACCGGAGCCTCAGTATCTGCTTTCACAGCTGCCTCACCCCTTGTCCAAGGTGGAGGGCATTTATTATTTTTAAAAATTTAAAGCAATTTGAATTAATTGAGCAGGAGGATTTTGCAATGGTAGCGGAGTAGGAGACTGCTGTGTGATGCTACCTCTGTTGCCAGCCTGGGAGCCTTTCCCGGGACCCCTGCAGGGAGATGAACAGGAAGGCTGGTGGCACTGCACCCAGGTGGGCATGGAGGAGAAGGGGGCCCTTTGCTGTGGAGGCTCTGCGCCATCCTGGTCACCCCATGGAGGGTGGTCCGGCCCTCACTCTGCTCCTCTCCACTCTCACCTCAATGTTCTGGCACCTTCTCCCTGCTGAAGGTCTGAGTCAATTAAAATAGCTCCCCAGATTCAGAAAAGTAGCAGAAAATGCGAACCCCTGCATGGCTGCAGTGGCCTCCCGGTAACCTCATCTATATTTAAACAGACTCCCATTTTATGGAATGCAAATTTCTTGGAGAAGGTCACTTTGTATCACTACTGCAGACAAGTCTGTATTTTTCTGATCTCTACACACAGAAATAAAGAGGGCTGGTACTGCATTTGCTTACCATGTGCAGCTCCAGGTTCAATCCCCAACACACACACACACACACACACACACACACACACACACA